ATGCATCCCATTATGCCTGCCATATTTTTATCGTTCGCAATCTGAGGTTCATTATCGGCGTCGACTACATCTTTGTCGGGACTCTTTAGGAGCATGCGAATTGTTCCCTCCTTCCAAGCCCGAGGAAAGACACCTTGAGTCAAGCACTCGTTGAATAGTGCCAGAAATCTTTTTGGGATGTACGCGATTGCGCGTTTAACGACCTTTACTTCCAGCAGCTCTAGTCCTGGAGCTTTTTCATTCTTAAGCCTTCGGACGACTTGTTTGAGTTCTTCTTTGTTGAACGGTTCTGCATCGTCTGTGTAAGGTAGGTTGAGAGCGTTTATCTTTATCCTGCTCTGTTCATCTGTGTCCTTTTCCGGAAGGTCATCAACTACATGTACTGCCAGCAATCGCTCGGCTGTTTCCTTGAAGTTCAGGGTCTCACCACCCTGTTTAGTGCGGAGCGCATTCATGACTTTTTCGGCTCGAATCTTATCGGCCGCAAGCTTGTATACCACGTCCCACTCCTCCTCGCTTCCGTAAGTTGTGACGAAGTTCTTCCAGCTCTCTGTCTTCGCTCTTTTAATTTCTTTGGAGTACTTCTTTACCTACTGGCGGTATCGGAGTTTTGCCGTCGTAATTCGGTGGGTATCTGCACCAAGCTTCTTGGTACGTTGGAATCTATGGCGCAGTCTATAAACACTGCGTTTCAGGCGAGACAGATGGTTATTCCACCAAGGATTCGCTTTCCTTGGCGCTTTACGTCGCGGCATGGACTTTTCGCAAATGTCCGTTAACTCATCTGCGAGAGTGTCAGCGAATGTTTATCGGAGAGTCTAGCGATGGTCCTGCAGAAAGTGTGCTCTCTAGCTCGGGTATCAACTTACCGAAGCCTTCTCAATCGGCTGCTTTGACTTTAAACCGTCGGCAAGCCCAACACATTCCCTCGCCTACATCACAAGAGCCATAGTGAAGGGGCCGGTCAAGGTCTCGAGAAACACCTTTGTAAACTAGAAAACCAAAGGGTGAATTCTCGTTTACGACCAATCAAATATGAAAGATAGAATAACCTTCGCAGTATCGTCTTACAATATTTTCGGGAAAAGGACGGACTCCCGGAAAGCGGTCTGCGTGCGACTCTCTAGCCACCCCCGTGGACTAGATCATCACACCCCGCACTGGCCGACGACTGTGGCTACAGTATGATCGTCCATGCTCCGAGAGAACCTTACTACCCTGCTTCAGCTTTCAATCTCCGCGTGTTTTGATATTTGTTCTTGTCTCACTTGATTGGTCCAGCGATATGGCGAGGACCAGCTAACCTTCTGAGGCGGCAGCCTGCGATCATTCAACTGCCTTCTTTTTTTTTGTCTGCCGTTGCTTTCATGAGACTTGGTATCATTTATAGATAAAAAATACATTTGCAATTGCATTGCCATTCTTTCATATTACATTCTCTCTTCAAATACACTTTCTCCCACACACACACACACCTGTAAAGGACTCCACACCAAGGCGGAGCCTTAATTGTGGACATATAGGAGGTAGTGGTGATGGTAGCTCTTAGCCTCTGTTCCGTTATAATAAGGGTAGAGTTACCAGGTATACCCACGAGGAGAGGTCTACCTTTATACCCCTCGGTCGTTTTTATATGGACTTTCCGCTGCTCTCTGGTCAACTGCAAAAGCCTCAGACCGTCTGGGCTGCTAGAGTCGAAAACTGAGTCGAGGTTCTGCGCTGTCTGATATGCTGCTCTATATAGCATCAGAGCTTTCATAGATGTCATAAGCGTGGCCTATCACTGACCTGTCGTGTAGAGACTCTAAACTTAGTAGCCCATACCCTACCAGATTACGGGGGAAGTATAGGTGTTGGACAGAAGGTCGCGGGTGATGACTTCGAAATAATGTCATCACTTTCCTCGTGATAATGTCCAGGTCTTTGAGCTCTTCTCAGAGTCATTTGAGAACTCCGAATGAGTATAGCAAGATTGGGACAGCGAGCATATTCGTGGCTTGGACTTTGTTAGAGCCTGATAATTCAGAGCCCCATATTTTTTCAAGTCGCCACTTCTACTCACTGCGGAGAGTATCTTTGATAACAGACACATCCTGTAAAGGAGTTTGTGCCTGTCCAAAGTATTGATATAACGTTTTAGCATCTTAATGATTTATGATGATCACATCTGTAACCTTGACATTATCACTTCAGTTTGCCGATCTTCCTCTTATTGAGATACTGCGCGCTTGTCTCACCCAAAATCCATGCCGATTGCTCTGGTATACTCGGACACAACCTTTCGGGCTGCTTGAAGTCCCTCAAGACTTGCCGCGTACATTTTCAAGTCATACATTTAAAATAGATGTATAATTTTGAGTATATGATTGGCGACTCGTCTAGCTTTATATCCGGGCGTTCGGCGTAGAATGACAGATGATTGCAGTAGTAAGATGCAAAATAGTAGAGGACTTACGGTATCTCTTTGGTATACACTTCTTGTAAATGGCACTGCTCCAGTATGCGTCCAGTGTAATGCACCGGTCTACTCACATGCCTCAGACCGTCTGAGCTGCTAGGGTTGAAAACTGAGCTAAGGTTCTGAGCAGCCTACAGTACTGCTTCATACAGAAACGCATCCCCTTTTAACAGTTTGAAGTTGTTCACGAACTTGAGAACGAGATTAAATCCCTCATAGTTATAATAAGCCAGGCCCATCACTGACATCTTATGAGAAGAAGCTTGTAAAATATTATGTTAAATGTTTTTTGGTAATTTACCCAAGCCGTTGACAAATTGTGCTTGTAGTACCTTGAACCCAAACGAGGAAAAGATTAATTGGCCAATCCTCTCACTATAACGACATCACAAGCAACCCACTATGGTGATAAATGGGTGAGCTGAAACAAGTGCTATATATCCACATAAAAGTCATATAGTACCGGACATAGATGCTGTTCAATTTTTTAAAGGTTATACAGACGATATTCCTATACCCTCTTACAGAAAATTACACAGCAATTATGTCCGGTACTGTGCAGGCAGAGTCCTAACTTGGGCCCAGCTACCAGGTATACCCAAAAGAAAAGGTCTACCATATACACCCATATATAGGATAGACGAGATAACAATTTTTCCTTATGTACCCGGTGAATTAAGCCGGTCGTTAGAAATGAGAGAGCAAAGATTCTCTGGAAGTTCCTGCCCTCTATTCCTCAACGTATCGAACATACTAAGCCGGACATTACTTTTTTCGATCATAATGTCATCACATATATTATATCGACTACTCATCACTGGCTAAGACAAATATAGTGGCAAAAAAAAGCGAGTAAAAACGAACGCTACAGAGAGTTTATGGAGGTCCTGAAAAATGTCCGTCACGATTATATAGCGCCTGTGATAGTCCTGGTAACTGGTGCACTGGCTCACCCTCAAACCTAAAGGAGCCGTGTGTCTACAGGATGATCTTATTTCGTCAGACCCTAGGTAAATCGGAGCCTTGAGATTCTTGGCCAGACTTTTTTAACACATTGAAAGGAAAATAATGATAAAATAAATAAATAAGCGTAAGATCCCCCTTTACCAAATATAGTGATACCGTGTGATACTACACTCTTTCAATTTTAAAGTACTAATCACAAAATATTATGTTAGTAGAACCATTTATATGTATGATGTGGAGAGACAACACCTTGAGCACATCGACTGCTCCTTCTCCAAAGTTGTACAAATTATTGTTTTCATGTGAATTAGAATAATCCGGTTACCCTTGTATCGAAAGTTTATGATCAAATGACCTACTCTTCCGTAAGAAGCAATCCTATTTAATAATTCGATAGACCAACCCAGCCTACACACAAAAGCCTCAAAATGGAATGATCAAGGCGACAAATAATTTCGAGCATACGTCTAAGCCATGTTTCCCTGTCTTGAAAAGGACATTTTGTTCGAGTACCTTGCCTCTTAGGGCATAACTCTGAAAATAATTCTACTTCTTGCAACGGCATTTCCCGGGACGCTTATACCTGTTGCCTTATATCATACAACTACGAGTCCAACCCTAACTAACCGAAAGCACCTGGTTCGACATATTGTTTTCCGACTCTGCAGTCACAGGCGTGGCTTGAATTTTGGTCTTCCGTAGTACGAGTTTTATCCCCTTTGGTCTGCGGCCCCAGTTATTTCTGGTGCGAAGAAAAGCAGCGTTATATTTTCAACACCTACAAAAATGTATAGTTAATAGATTAATGAGTTTCCTGAAGAAAAATATAAAATTTTAAGTTAAAGTTAAGTTTAAGTTGAAAAATAAAAATAAAAAAACCAAAAAATTGGAATAGAAAAATAAAAAATAAGGCAAAGTAATGATCCTATCCGTTAACCTACAGGCTACGGGTGTTCTGCAGATTGCAGGCCTGCCGACCCAGACCCTCAGGTACCTGATTACCTCTGGGTACTTTCTTTTGTTTTTAATTTTCGGATCATTTGAAATCAACCTTCCTATAATTCGCTGTATATTCTCGGCAACGTTGCCAGATTTACTTGCAGAATATTTCTTTCGAGTCCGATTGTTACAAACATGCATAATGAAATGGTTTACAACAAATTAACGAAACGATAAAATCATTTTATTTTATACTGAGTCATGGAAAGTGGTTGGTTTGTAAATTTCAACTAAATATATTGGATCATCTTTCGAGTAGAGTATACAAAAAATCAACAAAAAGCATAGTTTTAACTTAGTTGCTATCTTTTGTATGTTAAAACGATGATTTTTAAAATTGAATAAATTTTGAATGAAACGGCCAATAATTATGAAAAAATTGAATTGGATGAAACAAGTATTATATTTTAAGCTATGAAATTTTTGAACCAAAATCTTTTTTTTCTAACTGTGTCTACTTCTTTAAGTAGGCAGACGAGCTATTAAGTGTTATATCATTGAAATTAAGATAAATAGATTCATAATAGAAAGTAATATCGAGATACAGTATGTAAACCTATTTTCAATGATTTGATAGATTTTGTTTGGAAGTGATGATTTTGGTATAAAAGTACTGAAAAAAGATACCATTCTATGGGAAACTAAAGAAACAGCTCCTGTTACATTTTTAACTAAACTTATCAGCAGTCAATTTGCTTATATTGTGGAAAATGGAACGATCGGAATATATGATGGAGTTCGAAGGCTTTGGAGGATTAAGGTAAAATAACTTCTTTTTTAAATTGTACAGTTAAAAATAACTATAACATTTACTCTATTACCAGTCTAAGCACAAAGCTGTATCAATAAGAAGCTATGACATCGATGGTGATGGGATTCCGGAACTTCTCACTGGCTGGAGTTCAGGAAAAATTGATGCAAGGTCCTGTGCAAGCGGTGATGTTATCTTTAAAATACAGATGAATGCTGGAATTGCTGGAATTATTGAAGCTGACTATCGGCGAATTGGAAAATCAGATTTAATAGTTGTCTCAACTATCGGTGAAGGTAATTTAAGCAAATATGAGTAATTTTTGGGTTTTTTCTTCCTGAATAACGAAGAAAATAATGATTCTTATATCTAAACAATATACTTATTATCTAGTACGTGGTTATTCATCAGGACTACCAGTAAAAACATTGGAGTCTAGTGACATAATAAAAGAGCTACTAATACGAAAACAAACTCTTAGCACCAAAATAAGGCAACAAACAACTAATTCGGAAAAAACAGTAGAATCTAAATTGGCTATTAATATATATTTGAATAATGGAGCTGTAAAAATTGCACTTGCATCGGGTCCTGGATTATTTATTTACTGTGCGGTCGTATTCGCTGAAGGTGTTTTTAGTGGTGAAACGTTGGTTGTCCACCCACTAACACATACTGATGAACTTGAGATCGAGTTGAGACCTCTGGACAATTCAACGATCGATATGCATATGAAGATTCTTGTCGGTGCAAAAAACAGTCATATATTACAGGTAAAAGTATTTCTGATTTTATTCAGTTGAAAAAAAAATTAAATATCATCAGAAGCATTGTTAATTTTCAATAAAATACTTTTAAACATCTGTATTTGGTTTCAAGACACTGTGAATTTTAATATGACCTATGCTGCAATGGACGGCAATGAGATTCTAATGATCGAACATGTCGAATACTCCGATTTAAAAATATCTCTTATGAAAATATTCTACCTATAATAGATCTTTATTTATTAAAAAATTAATTACCAGTAGTACATATAGATAATTAGTAAATTACTCCGATATAATTCAGTTAGATTATATTTACATTTAAACAGCGGTTTCTTTCTAGGTATTCGAAACGGTTCGCCACTTACCTCAATTTTGTATGTATGAATTAATACCTCGACCGGATCATATTTCTGGGAATTTGAATGATAGTGGTGTAATATTTGAGGTAACTTTCTTATAATTTATACTATAATTTGTTCCTAGTGTTTATTACAACATTTAAACTGCAATTCTGAAATTTAAGTAACATTAAGGTGTTTCTAACCCATAACAAATGTCTGCAAAAAATTTAATTGTAATGTACGATGTTCTTAAGATAAATGCAACTTATTTTAAAGGAAGAACGATAGGTTTCTTACCTGTGATAGGTAAATAGCCTTTAGCACTTATTCCAGAAATGGGTTTCTACATTTAGTGATTATTAATTTTAGGTTGTAAAAGGGACGGCAGAGGTAGCAGATAGATAGATAGATAGTAGAATTTATTGTTTAGACAATTAAACAAAAAGTTACATGAGACAGTAACATAGTTATAGATACAGACTATAAACAACTATATAATAAGACAGTAGTACAGAAATTATTAACTATCCTGTGACACCATTGTAATGGATTGTGCAGGATCTTACGGCCTGAAATGAATGGTTAATAAATGTAGAATATTCATTTCTAGAATAAGTGACTTAGAGATTATTTAAGTGACTTGTCACTTACTCTCTATGCTCGATCTTGCTCTACATTTTGCACAATTCTATCACAAAATATATGCTATCCCGGATTTTTTGTAGAGAATTTGTTTCTCTACAAAAAAAACGTACAGTAGGACTCCTCGGCAATCGAGGAACCTAGAATCTCATTCCTTTCTGTGGGCGGAGAATTACCACCACTCTATTCACTTCCTCGTTTTTTCAGCTAATTGCTCATGCGCTAAAAATGTAACAGAAAAATTGGAGACCCATATGGCTCCATTGTCTGTGATCTACATATTAAATTTCATGTAATTTATATTTGATTAATTTTGGTATACATAGTGTCTAATAAATACTAATAATTAATTTATTTCAATTGAACAGTCATTGTAAACAGTCAGAATGTAGTATTGTTCTTTGTAATATAGATAATTGAACTCGTTTGACAATGTACAATCGACTCTAATGTAGCCAGCGATGTGGGAATGTTAAATTAGGTATTGAACAAAAGATGTTCGGTACGATAGTCTTCAGAGACTCCCCTCGAGATTCTGTGATGCATGCAAACCTACTCATCTAAAGGGTGGTAAAACGCGGAATAATTTCATCCACAATTACAATAACTTTGTCTTCATTCTCGTGCAGTTACAATGAAAGGGGATTATTCCCTACCAATTAAGATATCTTTAAACTTGTTCTAGTAAGGAGCAATAGAATTAAAAAATTATGGCTCGTCTTGAAGAGACTATTGATCACAACGTGGCTCACCGAGCGTTGTTTCTCGTTGTTGTTGAGGTTCCTTAGAGCTGTCACCCTTGACTCTGGTAGCTTCCCTTTGGACTTATGCAGACTCGGGATATTCTCGTTGCCCCTGGGTCACCTCCCTGCGGTGATTTTCTCCACCGGGTCGGTCTGTATCCCTATCCAAGGAGGACTCACGGTCTTCTTGACGCGCCCCCCTGGTCGCCTTTTTATTTCACTGCCTCTTTGGAACACCAGATGTTCCCAGTCGTCTAGTGTGCCTTTATCCGCTCATGTATACTAGATGGTGGTTGGCAAAGTAGTAGGTTTAGCTGGAACTGTCAGGATATGTTCCCAAGTACAGGTGTACGAGAATGTTGTTACGAACTTGGATGGACGGAGGGCACCACCTTCCTACGAAGGGACATATCTTTTCCTTCGTCGTGTCACAATAAAATGTTGTCTCGTAAAGTGAATAACCTTGGAAGAAAATGCGACGTAGTGCCTCTAAACATAAAAAAGAAAGCTTTGGCAGAAATCGATAAAGAGACTCCTCTGAATGTGATTGTTGAAGAATTAGATGTTCATTAAACAACTATTAAATTGTAGTAAAAGAAGAAAGATATAATAATGAAGTAGAATAATTAATTTGAGTTGGGTTATATGAAAAATCGAATACGTTTGAACTAAGAGACTACGTATAACGTCAAAAGAGCGGTGTGAATTTGGTTTCATCGAAAACGTACTTCTGATGTTCCTATTACTGGACCAATGATTCAGGCCCAAGCATTAAAATTTCATAAAAATTTGTATGGTTGGTTGGTTTACAGCCGCTTGAGCTCCCTCACCGTGTCGCACCTCTTTCTTTCTTGCTCGTAGACTTCGATTTCGCTCACATTCTCAATGCTCACATTGAGTAATGCTCAGAGATTTCTCTTTATAAAAATCTTTTCCGAAGGGTTGTAAAATTCTTTTTATTTTTTGAAAAAAAAAAAAAAAATATTTTTTTTTGGTCAAGTTGAATTTTTAAAAATAAATTTACTTGAGTAGATAGAATAATTATTTTCTTCAAGAAGAAAATTCTAAAAGAATTGTTTCTCTTGAATAAGTATAAATTGAAGGAAAATTTTATCGAGGTTACTTGAAATTTCAAACTTATAGTTCTTATAACTATGCATCAGTTATTACAAATATTCCTTTGTTAAAGAAATTTTTTTTTATCTGATCAATTTAACATAATGATTTTCATGATAAGTATGAAAATGAAAGTAGGTATTAATTTCGGCCTCAAATTAAAGCTTATTTTCTGCTGCAATGCGCAGAGTACAAATCCTACGAGGTTATATTGCTACAACGTTAAAAAAGAAAATCACGAATGATTCATTCTCGATTTAATTTGCGATAATTAAACTTAGTTTGCGCAATTTTTGTATCGTTTTCGTACCTAAAAAACATATTTCAAGTGACAAAATTCGATAATTACGAAGAAATTAGAAATGTACGATTTTATATGGTCTTTGTTGGAATTAAGTCCTAAACTATCTAACAGATGGCAGCATCATGTTATCCATTGACCTCAGTTTTCTATACGATAGTAGCAGCATAAGGGCTTTTACATCCTGAGCCATCATAAAATAAACTTATTATAATTATCAGTTTTTTTTTTGTATTTTAGAGCTTAGAACTCTTCCCTAAGGAGTATTATTCAGCAGTACAATGAAAAATAAAATAACATCTACAATATTCCTTATACTTATTATTATACAAACACTAATATTATACATTAATATCAATTGTACGACTATGATACTTCGCTTCTTTTCGTAAAGCGGACAGTACCACAGGACATGGTTGGGGTCCTGTGTGTGAAAGCCACAACTACAACGAGACAAATTCACAATATTGGATCTAAAAAGAGAGTCTTCCAGACTGTAGTGGTTGAATCTTAATCTGTTGATGGTGACGATAATTTTACCGTTCAATTTTTTTTTAGAGAACCAAGGTTTTCAAAGTATTTTTAGAAATACACTTTACCTTTTGTCGCTCCTAGGTCACTTAGTAATTCGAGCGTGTAAACAAAAGAAATATAAGGGTGCAAAGTTTATGAAAAAAATTTGCAAAAAAAGACGCTCCAGATACTATAAAAATCGAAAAATTTATTTTTCTTCCTTAAATTTTAATTGGAAAATATTCAGAAAACGATTCTGAACATTCCAGAATTTTTCCAGATTTTGTCAGATGTTGGAAATATTTTTTTTCCAAGTGTCAATTAAGAAGTCGCTCAACGGCATAATCTGCCGGAGCGCCCAAGATGCTCGACTTTCAAGGCGCTTTTGCAGCGCTGAACATTTTCACCCGTCTACGCCAAAAGTATTCTATTATTTTAGCATCTTGATACTAAGAACAAGTTTACAAAAATAAGTTGATACATTTACATGCTGTATTTATAAACATATTCATTAAATTAGAAATTCATACACTTTTAACTCCGATCGTATCTACAAATCTTCCTTAAATTCATGAATAATATTTTTCGGGGAACAAATCTTTCAAAAGTAACAAAGGATAACAATTGCGTTGTTAGGAAATGTAATTCAATAATTGACTGCTTGAGTAAGGGCTATATATAAACAGAATAGATTTCCAACAAGTCAATTCAGCTACAGAAATCATTCAATACAAATCTAAGTGTACACAATTGAGTGGAACTGAAGAACATTGAGTAGAAAAATTGTTGAGTAAAGTGAATATGGATAACATCGCCAGTACTGAAAACAATACTCAAAAACCCATACAGAAAAGTACAGAATTAGACACATCAAAAAAATACAAAGTGACAAAGTTAAAGATAGTGAACTACTGGTGTAAAATCATTTTAACTTTGGATGATGAATACAATGTTTCTTTGCCACCGCGGCATTTTGAAGATGATATTTTCTTTGAGATTATACTGGAGTTCATATAGGAAAATAAATTGGCACTGCAATACTTTGGTGGAGACTGCAATGATTTCGAATTCTTCTTCACCAGAAAACATGAGGACAACAACTCAGATGATTCCACAAAACAAGTCAATTAATTCAACAAAATCACACTCAATTATATCAATACAATACGATCACATCTATGTCAATGATTCTGAAATAAATGAATTTTTTTAATTTAAATATTTTCTAACATTTACTCACAGCACCCTCTAACAAATGACAAAAGCAATTGCTTAGTGATCGATAATCATTAGCGACCGAAGTTTATAAAAATTTAAATTTTTTCCCCGCCAAATCAGCGCCATCTAGTGGAAAGGATCAGTAACAATTACGGTATAAGATCGATAACAATTACTGGCAAAAGAAATCTTTGAAATTTTTACCCACCACAACAGCAGCTCCGCTTAGATCGGTAACAGTTGTCGACAGCAGATTAGTACAACGCCATCTAGCCGGAAAATCGACAACTACATCTGCAGTCACTGAGTTGCCGACTCCGGTAGTAAATTACCGACATTGCCGGTAATAGTAGAGTGATCTAGAACCCTTCCTCCATACCTATCCACTCTTAGTACCTCTATATCTTTTTTTAGATTGATTTTCATCATACTTGTGCAATTCATTTTTCACTTGTAAAATATTACTTCTTCATTTTTTTATTAATGATATTGTTTGTTTCGCAACTCTTTATTCTTCAGCTAATTTTATTCCTGATTCACCAGCTTTAACTCTTTTTAGATTTTACATAGT